GTGGCACGATTCTAAATTATGCTTCATTTAGAAAAGCATTTAATACTTTCTCGAAATATTGGTCTCAAATAAATAATCCATCTCGGATTGATGATGTCGTAGAAAACGTCAATATGTTGAATTGTCCACAAGAAAATATTTTTTATTGATATGCGAGCTTTGTTTGTTGCTTCTCAGCGGCCACAAGGGTCAACATATTTTCCGAAATTCCCCCTCCCGCTCACTCATCCATTCAACAAATTCAGGCACACCGAAGGAAAAAAGAGACTACATCACAGTAAAATCATCAATCCTTGGCACTTTTAAATATCACAGATATTATCTGTACTACAATGCAGTTATTCAACAACATTTTCCGGTTAGAAATTGGTGTCGGTGTAAAAGGATGGCCAGTGATGTTCGCATTCTTCGACGCGTTCCCACGTTTACATGCTAAATAAGAAAGATGGGATCGGAGGTTAGTTGAAAAAGCATACAGTTTGGCAGGAAAGTCTCGTTTTGTAACCTCGCGGAAATTGTTTTCTCTCGCGCTATGTAGACACAAAGATAATCCTGTCGCCTTTATCCACCCAAGCGTCGGCCCAAGCAGGAGCAGAAATCCAGCAATCTTGTTGTGCGATCGAACCTTGTGCATACACGCAGACTGCATGCTGATGGGCCAGCCTGATGGCTGCTCCCGATACCCCGGAGAAGCCACACTCAGGTGGCATTGCCGTTCGTTTGAAGTACAACCCTGATTCAGTCGGGCTTATGCAGAAAGCCGGCAACTTTGCATGGGTTGCACGTAAGGAGTCTTGAAAGTGGGCGTGAGTCCAACGATCGCTCGACTTCCTGAGACCAACATTTCTCGCCCGATTTTCCCCCGCTGTTTTCAGGGTTAACGCAATGTTTGACGTCGAGGTCAATAAAATTCTCTCATTCCTGATAAAATAAAGCATTTCCTCAAGCTAGCCGCCGTCTTGATGGGATCTTGCCACCAAGTGTGTAATTAATGGCTGAACTCATAGTGAAACCCGCGGTTGAATAAAATGGCCACGATGATAAATTGTGAGTGTTTTCCGGTGTAGTTACCACAGTTTGTCTCCCGCGTTCAAGAACATCATTCCGAATAGGGGTGGCTAAGATCTTCGCGTAATGCACTGGGTTCTCGTCTTCCCATTCCTAATTTGCAGACAGGAAGCCCAATACATTCATAAGAACCTAGTGATTGAAAACGGAGGATTTTAGTATAGATTCTGAAGGTGCGTTATTGTCAATACTCCACGATTAATGAAACTTATAACTTCTCTTTTTTTTCTCTGATTAAAATGAATACGGGCAGTGTTCTTGGAATTTTCAGAGATCGCGGATTTAATATTATATATATATATGAAGTTCAGAAAGAACCAATTATATACAACAATGCAGCAAATTCGCGATATAGAAGAGTTTGAATCACTTGAAATGCAGATTTCTGTCAGGTTATGCTTCGTGGTTTCCCTCTGTGTTTAGAAGCACGTTCAGTGAGTTAATGCATTGATTAAATGGGTGTAAAGTATATTTTCCCTCTAAACTCGAATTTTCCGTAAGACGCATCATAATGATTTCATGTGTACGTGACAAAAGTCACAAAACCAGATAAAAAAGAGTTTTACGATGGATTTAATGGCTTCTCTGTGGATTTAAATGACGGTGTTTACTATGGAACACGATACTGGCAAAAATTGGGCAACGCGTGAGACGTATTGCGATATCTTTCCACGCGCAATAGAGCAGGACGAATCGAAACTCCTGGTCTAACAGTTTGAAGTCTCTTTTTTCCTCTCTACCTCCCTCTCTCTCTCTAAATATTTTTCTTTCTCTAAATATAAAATTTTTTTCTCTCAATTCATCTATTTCTGCTTCTTTCTTCCTTCTTCGTCCGCGCACTTTCCATCATGAAAAGCTGCAATGACTGCTTCAGAAAGTGAAATCGCCGCATTTTCGCTCCGTGTCCGAAGTCCGCTGCTCTCGCAGAGTTGATGGCAACAGCAGATTACATCACATCACCATTATGATGTTCACGGGCTGCGATGCAGAACTTTGCGGTAGATCTCGTAAATACTCAGTCATTTTTGTGGAAAATTTTTTCAGAGGGAACGTGAGCTGAAGTGAAATTCGCGAAAGCTTTTAAGAGAGCCAAGACGTGGATTTTTTGTACCTGAGGACTCTGTCTCTTCGTTTCCGTGCGTTGATCAAGCCTTCATTCAAAATTGAATGAAAAAACACAATGCTTCTTCGTCATCAGCATTATGGCTGAAAGAACGTCGGTTGCCTCTTCTCGCGTTTACCAATATCTCACTGAAAAGACGATAAAGCTTTCTCCAGGATTTCTTCCCCGACATGTTCTTTAACAAATGAGATGACTTTCAAGAGACAATTTAGACTATATGCGGGCGAACGACAGCTGTATTTTACTGTAGGAATTCCATACCCCAGAAGAAGCAAATTATGCTTCACAATACGACCGCTACAGTTGAAGATGTATTTTATTTTTTTCCTGAATGCACAAAAAATCGTACGATTTTTCCCAGCTTCAGAAGACCCTGGAGTTTGAGACTCAATTGGAAGCCGTATCTGAATCAGGTCGCCCCCATTTCCCTCAATTGCGGAACTGTGGTGAATGAAAGCTTTTCCTCGCGATTAGCAGAGCATGTCCATGAAAAAACGTATTTCAACCGGGCGTTCGCATTAGTTCTGATAAGGGAATGCATTGGAAAAAATGTTTTAAATTAACGATACAACCATCAGAAGCTGTGAAGATTTTATGTTAGCGAGTTACCTCCATGATTCTAACCTGAATGATTTAGGATGGTTTTGCAGCGTTTTTAAATCAAAATTATGAACTTTTACTCTATTTTGCTGGTGTAAGGATTTTTACATGCATAATGCAATTCTTGTGCTGAAGTTGGTCATAATCCATGATTGAAACAGTAACCAAATAAAATAACCATCCATTGAGAATAATCAGTTTCTATATATTTTCTCTTAGGAAATATATTACTTTGTTGCAATACCTCAGTGATTAATAATAAAGTTATATAACATCACAAATGATGTGACCATGCGGAAAACTTTCGAGCCATAAACTATACTACCTAACTTACCAGATTTGATTAAGATGCCCGTTTCAGGATTTCATCAGAAATTGCGCGAAAAATGTTTACGATTTTGGGACCAAGACCCAACCAAAAAAAGAAATGATTCATATGTTAAAAATCCAGGCAAGCCTTTTCACGTTGAATATATATGTATAATACAATCACGGCTTCAATTCTAAGTTAAGTGAGACAATGCACACATTTCAAATTATTTGTTGCAAAAATGAATAATTTTCAAAAGGTATTCTTGTTCGTGTAAAATTGCTAAATCGCCAATGGCTAAATGTTAAGCTCAACTTCTCATGCATGATTGAAAACGCTGTATAAATATAGGTGTTCGTTCCATAAAAATTATTAAACACAGCACAGTTTTGAGAATGATGTATAGTGAAAACTATGAACAGTTTTCCTCCGTTAAAAGGAAGGAGAGCTTTTGAAAAAAAAAAATTTTTCAAAGGGCGGTGGAATGAAATGCAATAAAGGCCGTCTGCAGTCAGCGAGAACACGTTGTAATCGGATGCAAAAAATGTGAAAACACCGTGCTTTCAGAAGCGGAGCCAGCTTTGATGTAAATCTTCGGGGCTGGGACAGTTTGAATGCCGCATGGTTCTGCTCCGATTGGAAAGCAGTGCGAAAATCACGGACCGCGACGAGAGCGTTCGCTCGAACGGCGCTTGGGGGACGGCGTGGAATCTTGCCGACAGTCATTGAGCCTTCAGCATCACTCACGTGGAGGTAACAAGGAAAAGTTGTCAAAAAACTGGAAAAAGTGAGAGTGGAACGCCGAGCGTTTTTCCCCCGCTGCCGTCAGAAACAGAGCGTCATTGCCGCGTTCGCTCGTCAGTGGGAGAGCCGGGCTTATTCGGCATGTGGGGCGATCAAGAGTTTCTTTTGGGTGCCGAGAAAAAAAAAAAAGAGTGCTGTTCTATTATACGATCTTTCATCGAACGTACGCTGAAAACTCTCATTAATGTGCCACACGCATGTGATGTCGCTTATTAAACTCCTGTAGAGGGCGTTGATTTATTTTTGCAGTCACATACCTCGAATGATTTACTCGACTAAGAGCTCCCTTGCTTCCGGCGAACTAATGACCGGCATATATTCGTGTATCGTATACCCTGTACTGGGGTCTCATTTCTACAGTCTCAAAATCATTCATCATCTTCAAAATTCAATAGAAAAATTCAACCATCAAATTTCCTAGCCCCTATTTTCCTCGTCGTAATTCAAGTACTGTATTTTTGTTGCCCTGGTTTTAAACAATAATTAAATGCCAAAGAGATATCAGTCATCAGTGACCGGCTTTGCAGGTGCACAATACGGGACAATGCAACTTCTATCATTTTCAAGCTAAAACAGAGATATTACAAAAATGTGGGTGAATTTAAGATCAAACGGAATAACTTCAAAAATGTAATTTTTGCCCATTTTATAACGCTATATCACTTCAACATGTTAAATTTATTTCTTCCGGAAAACGAGCGGGTATTTCTCGCTTTCTGAATTTTACCACATTTCTTGCAGCATATGCAGTTTTATGCTGCAATTTTATTTGCCAATTTTCAGGCGAACTGGATTTTTAAAGCACTATTGTAAAAAAAATTAATGTGATTTGATTTCGTAGGCAGAATTAATATCGTGTTTTAAACGGAGAGTTATCGCCCACTGACACAACGAGCTATATGATAGGACCATTATTTTCTGGATTTCGAAAACTGGGTAATGACTCCGTTTTCAAATATAAGCAAAAATTATATAGTAAATGGAGAGTAAAACTGTAAGGATTACCACTGGATATTAGACATGTTTTTTCCGCCCGCGGGGATTGAAACTGTTACTATGGTACATAAAAATCGTCGGTTGGTATTTCCGTCGTCCAGGATATTTCGTCCATTTGTAATCGCATAGTAAAACAGCACTGAGGAGAGCAAGAAAGATGCAAAAAGGAATCTGCTTGTTGCTGCTGTGCGCCGGGTTCGCCGCGGTCGGGATTCTGGCAAACGACGCGGAGGAGCAAAAGACCGTGAGTGCAATGCCAGACATCCTCCAAATTTAATACGAAAACGCGAGGGCAGATCTGACATTAAGAGCCGGGAAGCTGGTCCCGAAATTGTAACGTCTCACCATTCCAGCCGGAAACTGCGTGTGCATGCGTCGAAATTTTCTACGCCAAGGACCGCGTTGACAACAGGACTGTGCAACTCACCAAGTGTTTGGAAGACCTCGGGGAGAGCTTTGATGTCGGAGATGGTGAGACTGCGTCTGGTCACTGTTTTACATAAGTGTCAAATTAAACCTGCCATAAATTCCCATCTTTGCCACCACCGAACGTCGAAATTGCTCAGGCCGGAAAATAATCCACTAATCAACTGATTACTGTTAAAATAGGGCGGCTTAATTCATAAACCGACACCTGTGCAAAAAAGATATCAACCAGTCTGGCAGTAAGCATTTCTTCTAGAATCATATACCCTAATACGGCGAAAATAAAAATCAGCAAATCAATCGACGTCAAAATTTGGATGCAATGCAGTTCCGAAAAATTTCCGTTCAATTTCGCTGAATTCAATACTTGAGTTTACCTGATTTTTTATGGGGAAACCCTTTTACCCCAAAGAAAGAATCCGGAAACCCCCTTTATTCAAGTGAACTAGATCAAAGAAGTAAATTACAAAACACTAAGTCAAAAATGTATGCAGGCAGAAGTGATTAGATTACGCTATTTTCGATTAGATTATGCTATGTTAGTCTGCTTCAACTTCAGTGAGGTTAGTTTATTTTTGTGTTCTTAGAGTGGAACCGGCCGAACTTCGAGAAGACCATCAGTCAACCCTGGTTAGGCAGGGTTAGTTGTGATAAGTTAGTTAAATTAGGATAGCTTACGTATGCCAAGTTATTAAGGGGTTATGAAATAGTGCGAAAATCTTCCACAGTTGAGGTTTAAACTGTTCCCCCTTCCTCGGCTGCATATATGAGCACTTTTATGCAATTGCCTTTCCGTACTTTCTATTTTAGGGGTAATGGATTCAAAATCAGTGTGAAGATCACGAAAATTAGCATTCGATTCTCCCACGTCGACTTTGGTCGGTGGTTGAAAGAGAATGCTTCATAGCGAAGGCTGAGCGGCATTGATTAACGCAATCAGTCCAATCAATGCCGAATGCGTAGAAGACTTTTATTCCCGCGAAGTGGGGTTCGAATACCTATGTGTTTTGTGTTCTTCCGCAGGACCCGACACGAACAAAACGTGTTCCGAGAAGGTGGCTGATTTCCAGTTGTACTTCGCGACCCTGAATGAAGAAGAAAGTGCGGCTGATGAGTTTTCCGCACAACTCGACCGCTGCTTCTACAAACGCGTAGGCTGGGTAAGTGGGCCGATTTCGCTGATCGTTCCGGTCGTGATAACAGTCCCCCCCTACTCTCTCAACACAGGCCCTTGAGAACGGATACGTGAACAAATCGGGGGTCGTGGACGAGATCAACGTCTCCTTCTCGGGCCTCGGGAAAGAAATCGCGGAACTCCCGGGAGTCAAGGAAATGAAGAAATTGCTGGTACACCGAGCAAAGGCGGAGTGCGAGGACAAAATGGCGAGTCACTGCGCCCGTTCCGCGGGTCCCAGCACTGCTGAGCTGATTTTTTGCCCTTTGTTTGCAGATGAAAAACTTTCTGCAATGCGTATACGCGCCTTGCTTCAAAGGCCTGTAGAGGCGACGGTTCGAGTTACACGATTTCCATCGATGCGAGCCGGAGACCTGCTTACTTCTTCGTCAGAGAATTTCCCGCTGCTAGATCAAAATGCCTGTTGCAGGAAGATGGGTTGAACTGTTTTCGAGGAAAGAGATCATGCTTCATTCGTCGACGAACGTGGCGTGAGGTATTTTCTGAGGCGGTTCATTCCGTCGACAAACTTTTGACCGAGTCACGAGGAATTCCCAGGTCACGAAAATAACGCGAGTTTCCTTTTCCGCGGCTTTCGTGAATTTACGCCGGTGGAATTCGAAAGTCGAGCTGAATCATTTTACTCGGATCCTCGTACTGCATCATCATACGAGTTCAAAGCTTCTGTCCCTGCTGCGTCTAGCGTTCAAGGGCAGCCTTTTTCATGCACGGGTAACTGTCACACGTCATTTGCTCCGCAAACATGGTGCAGATTATTCATCATATTCCCCGTCTCAGTGTCGTCGTGAAGTCTCAGAGAACAAAGCAGCATTTTTATATGCAACAGTGTTTCCCGGCCGCTGCAAAAATTCCAGCTCAAGCCGAGCATAACTTTTCTTTTCCAGGAATTTCATCTCAAAAGTTCATCCGAATTGATGTTTCATTCCGTTGCTTGTAAATTCTACCGACTCTGTAGGAGTAGGGTACTTTGCAAACGAAGCAGTCTCTCTTGGCTCATCAGTCATGACTATGACATTTCGTCGGTTGCCTTTGTCATTCATCAAAGGAATCTCGAAATAATTCATGCATAATGTATTCCACTGTTCGGAAAACTACTGACGCACTCGGAAAACGGAAAGCTGCGGAAAATGATGTCGTTCCCATTACCATTTGAGGGCAAAATATATCGTTTTGAATTTTACCGCTGCTGGTCGATTTTTCGGTGCGTTTCGATCCAGACACCGCAAGTGAAGGAAAGAAATGACACATTTCGTATGCCTTGTCAAAAATTTCGCAACAGTGGGAATCGGGACAATGCACCAATTTTGCTGGTCGTTCCGCTGCTTGTGTCTTTCAAAGCACATGTGAAGTACGAAGGCTGTTTCCTACGTTTTTTCAATCGTTCTCAATAATTGGAGGTGCACAAAGGCGGAACGGAATTGACCGAATTTTCTTGACCGTTATACTATCTTTCAATCATTCCTTGGCCGCAGTTTAATTTTTATCCCGATGGAAAGCGTGAGAAGAAAAGAATTCCGTGCGATACAAAAGTCCCATTTTGCAAACACGCTTCTTTCGTGCACTAGTCGATTGTCAAACCTACCCAGCCAATAAACAAGTAAGTTCAAACTCTATTTCAGGAATAATGCTTGATTTGTCTGCCTTATTTTTTAAAGAAATATTTGTGTCAACGAATGCGAGAATTTCCCTAAAATTCCAACTGTTATGTATAAAAATAATTGCGTCAGGGCTACGAATCCGTCGCAGAATAAAGTTGTTATCGTGTTTATTCAAGTTTTTTGGTTGATTTCGACGGTTGACACCCCGAAGTATCCGGCCAGACATGAACATTGTTAAGATTTTTCAATTAATGGATTCATTGGTTTGAAGTGTAACGGCATTTGAAGTAAACACAAAGACATTGAATAGCAGTGAACCTAGCACTAACGTGAATATGGCCAACGAGCTGATTCAAATAAGATGTCTTTACTCGGATCCAAGAAACCTTGCTACTTAATCCAAGGTAATAAGAAATGTAGGAACAATCCTTCATATTATTAATGAGAGAATTTTGCGGGGACGGGAAAAATCAGTTCATTTGTGACACCGTGATGTCGAGAAGCGTCACGGACTTTTCTTTGTTCATTGTTGCGCTTTTCAATCGATGTATAGAACGGTCGGTGCAACCGGGTTACTCCGACGGAGGCCATAACAGGCACAAACGGTGTATGTGATGCAGAAATCGAACTCTTCGATGCATATTTGACGAGGGCCAGAGTCGCTAACAATTTCAGAGAGACTCCGTGAGAAGCAAGAAACAGTCTTCAATGTATGATGAGGGCAATCTTTCTTGCCTGTTGGGGTGGCTGCAGAAAAGCTAACCAATGATACCTTGTAGCTCCGCGATGCTGAGGAAGGCAATTTTAAAAGCCTACTGCTCCTTAGATGTGGAAAGATGTCTCGGGGTCTAGAATGGAAGCGTTCGGAGCAGTAAAATGGGTTGGGTAATGCTGATCTCCGGAATACGGCCCTGTTTTTGGGTCGCCAATAGATGGCGCCAGGCGACCCAAGAAACGATCTCCCTGCGCCTGACTCAGTGTGTGAGGTAGCAGGAAATCCCTGCTGCCAAACTGGTTTGCCTTTCCTGAGGAAAACCAGTAATGAGGAGGAAGGCAGGAAACCGTAGCTCAAACTCAGGCGTAGGAAGAGGATTTTTTGTACATTCTGAAGCTAGCTCTCATCTGAGAAATACCCCAGGAATTAGGATTCTGTGGATTTCGTTGACGTGTTTGTGTGTGCTTTTGCTGATTGAATTATTTTGCCTCCAAACTCTACTGCACCGCGTTCGTTCTGTTTGTCTTATGTTGTTCAATTAGTAAGAAAGTAAAGATCTTTTGAAGATCTCTCTAAGAGGTACCTGGCCTCATAACAGCTGATTGAAGCGTTTCAATTGTGAAAATGCATTATTGAAGTAATGCGGTTGAAGGAACTGCGACAACGAGTCCTCCTTCTCTTTGGATTTCTTTACAGTTTTTGATTGAAATACATTTTGGATCATCCTTGACAGTTTTCCCTTAATGTCATGTAATATTAAAAACCTCAGAATTACAAAAATATCTTACCATGCCATGAAGCGATTTCTTAATGCATATACTGCTGTAATCAAAAACAATGAATCTCCTTCCGGACAGAATAAAATATTGTAATTGATTTCAGAATCCTGAGTAAACGTTATTGGCTCAGTGTCACTGCTGGATTTCCATTCTGATCCTCGAGCTTTCAGGATACTTTGACATGGAGGCGATGCAGGAATACCGCGAAATTCTTTTCAACGCTACAAAAAAAATTGTAATTGGGGAAAGCCAATTTTGTTCAGCGGTGATTATGCATGGGAGCTTCATTTGACGCGAACGTGGTCATTCGCAGTGGATGCAAGTGCATGATGCTGCATCAGCGTTGACGCATTCTTTCAGAAAATATCAGGCAAAGAACGGAGACAAATAAAAGACTGCTCATAAACTCGAGCAATGAACAACAAGTAGAGATGGATTCTGAGTAGACCAAAACAGAGTCTTCGTGACGACAGCTTTGTAACGCAGAAAAAAATAGACACAACTGCTCTTGTAAAGGCGCGCCGACGAGCTTTGTGGGCTGGACCGGTGTCGTCCCGGAGGCGCCGTTGTCGATGACTGGAGTGGATTTCAGCGTTTTCCTTTTCATGCCTCTGCGGGATTGTCGGGTCTGATTGAAAGCCGGGGGTACTCATACGCGAGTGGACAGAGAAAAGCGCTGCTGTTCGAACTCCCCGCCAAGCACTCCTCCGTCTTGATTGAATACAAGCACGGCCCATCTTGATAAATCCTTGCAACCCGCACTGAGAACGTTCTGTCAGCTGGCAAATGCATTGGGGATGGGCGAAACGAACGTCGCTGCCCTCTTTTATCCCACTGACGATAAAGGAGACTGCAACAAACGAGCTTGGCGATTCAGACAGCCGACTGGTTGTCGCACGTGTCCTTTCGTGTATTTATGGAGATGTAAGGCGCAAGGGGGGAATAATATGGCATCAAATTATGTGTCCAATGAGTCATTGAGGTTAAATTATGTCTGTCTACCCTTCCGCTCTCCCCGCCTTTCCTCGGCTACACTTTGTGCACAAGCAAATTTCAACGATTGATGTCCTGTCGCGGATCTTCCAGCCAGCATGTGGGTTTACTATTTTTCTTCGGCTTTGATAAAGATGTGGTCCGTTCACCTATGAATATCAGCCGGGCCAGAGCTCAGGGCTCGAAGGCTCTCCTCACAATACACGCCCATTACGTTATGCAGATTGGATGGCCATGGTCAGGCGAGCCCATTTTCGAGGATTTCCAGCCCGAGGGGACTGGGAATCCTCAGCCAAAACTGACTCCAAAGTGACTGCATCTTTCTTTTCCGTCGATTCCCTGTTTTGTGTCTCATAGAGCCGCTGAAGTGCTTGCATGCTTACTGTCTTCATAGCGTGAAAACGCAAAGCATTATTATCAAAGCGGCACTAGAAAGTGGGATTCTTATTCGAGAATCATTCTTCTTTCCAGAATAATGTACGAAATAATTTTAACTCGAATAAAGCTCATAATTCGAGCCATGACGTACCGCTAAAATGCCCCCAAAAAAAGTTGATGAAATTTCCAAAGACCTCTGATTCTTGAGCCGGTTCTCGAACGCCGATAGAAGCCACAATTATACGTATAAATTAATATTTTAAACTGCGTACCAATTTCACGAAAATGAGCCTTCAGCAGTTTGTTAGTTTGGGCTTAGATTTTGTTGTTGTTCGGTTATTTCTGAAGATTCTAGAACCTTCCAGGGTTCTCTAAGGCATTCCCGTCAATGTTTTCCCTCGTCATGCTGTGTGTCCATGCCAGGGACGTTTGAGATGATCCAACTGGAAAACATTGCTCTTCTCTTCTGCTTCGCGATAGCAAGGAACACGGACAAATTTCGATTCTACACCGATCATTCAAGATTCCCTTTGAAATATGTTTAAGCAGCTGAAGAGAAAGTAAAAAACATACATGCAATGATCGCGTTCTTCGAATGTTCAAATACGCAGACATGAAATTCAATGAAGAGTCAGTCATGCATTTAACTGGAGAAGAAGGTACAGTACAACATTTCTGAAGCGTGTCGCCAGAAGTTCTCGCGCAAGTTTCATGTTTCAGTTGAGCAAAAGAAAGTGTCTGAGAAGGCACACCTTGAAATAGAAATAGCGTGCTAACATTCCTGAACGATTTCCGTGCTCTCTAGAACGAGGAAGAGGGTTTCATGAGGATTACGCTTGATTCGTTTCGGCGTAGATATCTACGTATACGAGTCCTAGCTCACAGAGCGAAATTTCTGGTTTATCGTTCTAGGAAGAAGTGCTAAAGTTAACAATGGCGGTGCATATACTGAGTTATAT